TAAGGTACAATTAAAAAAAAAAAAAAACTAAAGCGTACAATTTTTTTTTATTAACTGAACAATATTTACTTTTAAAAATAAATCGAATGAACTATACACATACACAAAAAAATATACACAAGAATATTTTTTATTAACTGAACAAATTATTCAGATAATGATAAGCAAATAAATCCACACATACGATGTTTAAGAGTGAAATTAATCATTGAAACAAAGTGATTTTTAAAAAAATCACATGTGAGAAGTATCAAATATATTACTGAACTTTGTGAGAAGTATCACATTAAAGAAAGTTTCTAAAATTACCTTGTATGTAATTAACTTATTTATAGTGTTATGTCATATTTTCACTATAAAATATCAAAAGAATTTATAACACGAAAAATTACTTTCTTATTTTTTAATACATTAAATTCATATAACTATTAAATTTATCACACGAAACTTATTTTTCTATATTTATCACATAAAAATACAAACTTTATCAAATAAAGATTTGTTATTATCTGAAAAGAATAGTCTTCATCATAAAAAAATATTTCATTTATTTTTTAAAAGATGATTATGAAATATAATATTCAAATTAGTTTTTTTTTTTTTGAAATATAATATTCAAATGAATATATTAGTGAAGAAAAAAAAGCAAATCATATTATTTTTTACTATTGATGATAGTGTATTATACTATAATGAAATTAAAATAAAGAAAACAAATGTAATATTATCCCCAACAAATTTTGTGTTATGAAGCTAGATATTAACAAAAAAAAATTATGTGCTTTAGAATTGGATGATTTGTATATAATAAAATAAATAAATGTTATTTTACAAGTTCAAAATTAGAAAATCATTGATAAACTGTATCCAAAAATTATGGAATTAGAATTTGTATAATTTAATTTTACATGTAATGGAAAAGAAAAGAGAAAGGATGACAAAAAAGATAAAGAAAAAGGAACAAAGAAAGATTGAATTAGGAAGAATTAAAACAAGGTGAAGTTAGATTGTAATGGTCCCACATTATAAAGTCCATTAAATAATTTTCTTCACACAATTAATAATAATTCTAACTCACTAAATATAATAATTGTTGTTGACACGTATTTTTAGAAGTTTAGGAAATAGTAGTACTAAAAACTTGACTTTACTTTAAAAGAGAAAAAGGTTAATTAGTCTTTTTACAATTCTGACCAAATTATGGTCACATAATTCTGGTCATTTAGCATTTCCCAAATTATTAATGTAGATTCAAATAACGAAAATATTGAACCTATAAACTTGATTTTGTCTCTGAAAAAATCCTTTTGGCCAGAAAATTTGGCCAGAATGGTATTTTACGTATGTCATTTTATCTTTTTGAACATTTTTACCCTTTTAATTTTAATACATTTTAATTAAAAAATGGAAAAAATATTAGTTTATTTTAAAATAAAATAAAATATTATAATTTTTTTAAATTTCTGGCCAAATTCTGACCAAATTTTCTGGCCATTTAGCATTACCATTTGTCTCTATTGTTCCACCCCATTTGAACCAACATGTACAAGTTAGTTGTAATTTATACGTCCTTGTCTCTATGTGTGATGAAAGGTTCATTACTTCATCATCCTTGCAACTTGTTGCTCCTCGTCACGTTCTTTCTTGTTCCATTTGCATTTGAATAATCAACCAATTTTAGAAGCCACCGTAATTAATGGCTAAGACTTACAATCATAAACCAATCAAACTTATTGTTCTGATTAATTTGAATTTGCATTGGCTAAGCACATAAGGGATTAGATATCGCTTTCTTTCTGTTAAATGATTTTTAATTCATTTTTTGTAATAGAAATACAACACTACATATTGAAGATTTTCACATCAAACCTAAAACATCTACATGTAATAAATATAATATAGACGAATTCCAACTATCCCATGTGGCGTTATTCAGTATTTATTTCTTGATAAATATATACAATCAATGAAGGAAAGGGACGAATGAGTTGACTATATTACTACTCACTATTTTACCAAAGTAAAGATTTTTCTTCATATTTTGTGTGAACAATCAATATCAATATGTATGCACACCCATTTGAAAATTCAATAATAGCCATAATATATATATAGAGGATTAAAGATATTTTAATTAGTTCAAAACAAATACATATAAGTTTGTTGAATATTCTTTTTCAATATTTATAATTTGTTTGAATAATTATTTTGGAATTAATGACTTGTTCTGTATTAGGAAATGAAAGAATAGTCAAATACTCCCCACTCACGCACACAAGCATTTTTAATTCCTTAGTGGCCTTCACCTTTCCTTATTCTTTCATCATCTATTCAAATTTTAGCCTTACATTAATTTAGATTCGCATGAATTAATAATTAATATTTTTATTTAAAAAAAATTATAAAAAGATCTTTATTTTCAAAGTTTAAATTTGAGATCTTTCATTATATACCTACTAGTGAATTTGGCCGCGCTACGCGCAGTTTTAAAATATTTTATAAAAAATTTATTCAAATATTTTGAATAAAATTTTACTTTATTTGACAATATTTATTATAAAAACTGTATTTTGTTTCTACAAATTTACAAAACGTTATTTCCTTTTGATTTCTATTTTTACATAATCTTTTGTAACTTTTCTTTAGTATCTTTTAAATATTTGATTATTTTATTATCTCTTATACATTTATTATTTGATTTTATCCCTATATAAATTTTCGAGTATATACATATTTTTGTATTTTTTCCTATTTTAGAAGGTTATGAATATTAAACCTTGCAAATATAGAAAGGATGCATGTTACACCCTGAAAAATGATAAAGTATAATTTTTTTAAAGTTTTTATAATATAAACAAAAAGAACAAATAAACACTTTCTTAATTGTATCAAATAAATTTCAGATTTATTTAATTTTATATGGTTGCTTGTTTAATTATTAATTTTCTCAGTTTTATACACTCTAAGACAATTTCTACTACAACAATCTATTTATCCTAATGGTTCATTTTCGATAAGTATAAAAAAATAGTCTCATAGATTAATTTTTAATAACGTAAAATGAGTTAAAACCAATCAATAATGAAAAACTACTATATAACTTTGTGTTCTTGGTAACATCACATATCTATGTGATCTGCAATAAGAAATTTAAACGACAATAACTATTTTTTTATTCTCGAAGAACAAATTATTATGTAATTACAGTTTATCAACCTTATCAATAATCAACAATGAAAAATCACTATAATTCTTAGAAAAACTTATGATGAAAAACTAAATAGTATATTTGTTTGGTAAAATTTGAACACCTACCAAAACCATGGTTAACCAACTACTTGCTCATGTTTCGACTCCTCTGAGAAATCAATAAAGAGATATTTTTTGTATAACCTGCAAACAATTAAAATTCATTGCTTAAGGTAAATACAATATGAAGACAAAAATAAAATATTTCAATGCCAAATAGAGAGAATAAAGGAAGAGATATAAAATGAATAAATAAAGGAGAAAGTAATTCAGAAAGGAAAATAAAGGAATTGTGTAAGAATTCTGAAATATTGAATTATTATGTAGTAGAATTCTGAAATTAATGTTGCATTATCTTTTTCATTAAAGGATTACAATTAAGTGAATGTATTTTTTTACTGAAATTCCGTAACCATTTTTTTTATAATTAAGCACACTAATTATGGAGAAGTAAATGTTGATTATGGAGAATCAAATGAGAGTTAAAACATGGTATAAAAGATGCAGTTTAAAACGGGCAAAACTAATAGCCTTTTGAGATTCTTTATTTTTAGGAAGTTATAATTGATCATTAATTAATAATTAATAATATAATTGTGTAAAACCTGTCTAAATTCTAAGAAAATAGATAAATGCCTTTTCTGATCATTAAGATATGCCACATCGGGATGAAAATCCAATTTTATGTATATATATAGATTACTCGTTTCCTACCAAAAAGTCCTTTATTCTCAATGACTTTCATTTTTTTTATCACAATTGCAAGACGCCATGTAAGTTGGCCTTTTAACGTGATATCATTGATGTGTGGTTTGATAGCTGATTAAGAGAAATATTATATATATATATATATATATTAGATCTTGTATAACTAATATCATGTTTGGTAGTTGATTTAGGATAATGTAAAAAATTAATATGGTGTTTGGTTTGCAATTCAAAAACATGTATAACTAATATATACTCACTACATCTTATTTTATGTGACATTTTTCGTATTTCGAGATTCAACAAGTGTATCGTTGACCATAAGCTTTTCATAGATCTTTTAAACATTTTGAATTATCAATCATTTGCCCCGGTTTAACAACAACTACCTATTATTCAGGGGATCCTTTTCTATAGTACTTTTTATATAGTTTATAAATATATAAATTTTATTTCAAAAAAAAATTGAAAATTTCATGGGTCAGAGTTAAACTGTTTGACACTCGAAAAACAAAAAAAATGTCACATAAATTGCTATAGAAGAAGTATATAAATTATGAGAGAATTTATGTATAATGTTACGGAGGATAGAAAATAAAATAAATAGGTGGTTAACTAATTTTGTATTAGTAATAGTGAGGTATCCAAGTATAAACATAAAAAATAAAGGAGATAGTCGATGAGAGTTTTAGTTTGAAAAGTCTATTTCCAGTGTTATGTTAGAAAACAAATGGTCAAAAGTCAAAAACGACTAGGAAAGTCATCAGAAAGCAGCTACAAACTTGTTTGACAAAGATGTATTTGGGAACTTAGAAATTAATTAGTGTGATAATTAATTTGTCTAGAAGGGTCAGCTTGTTTGTCCAAAAAGATAGAAGAAGCTTATCTGAATATATATACATCTTGTATTGTGAAGATATCTAACTTTCTGCTTTCCTTTCCCATTTTGACTTCTCCTTCAATTTCTTCTACATACCTTTTCTTTTTCTTCTTCTCTCTATCTAAATTTCTTGCTATTAGGCCTCCTGCCTGATTTTTATGATATGGGAGACTCTGTTCCTGTTCCTGTATTGGAAGGAGAAGAAAAATTGATTGCTGCTGCACACCAGATTGTTAAAGCATTGCACAATAAGAAGGATTTTTTAACACATGATGCAAGAAAAATCCTGGCTGATTTAGGCTCTCAATTAATGTCTTCTATAACCAAACTAGACACTTTACAACAATCCAATTCCAAATCCCTTGAGGATCAGCTTAACATATTGCAAAATAAGATCATGAGCTGGGAGGAGTTAGAAGATCATCAATCAGTTATATGGAATTGTGGCCAAGAATATGTACATGATTATTTGACATCTGTTGATCAACTTCTAAAATTCACTCAACAGTTAGAGAGTAATAATTTGGGGGTGGATAAACCACTTGATGACCTTCTCATCTCTAGGGCTCACCAACTTGTTCGAACAGCAATGAATCGGCTTCAGCAGGAGTTTAAGCACTTGCTTGTTCAGAATAGGCAGCCTTTCCAGCCAGAGCATATGTCTTTTCGTTCAAACGAAGATGATGACACTTCAATTGCTTCATTTGGAGATGATTCACTAGAAGATGTGCTTCAAAGGGATAGCATGAGTAGACGTTCCGAGGAATATATATCTGTTGTTGAACTTGTGCATCCTGATGTCATTCCTGACTTAAGGTGTATCGCAAATTTGATGTTCAATTCAAATTATAGTACAGACTGCTCTCAAGCATTTGTTAATGTAAGGAGAGATGCATTGGATGATTTCTTATTCATTCTTGAAGCGGATAAGTTGTGTATTGACGATGTGCTTAAGATGGAATGGAACCCATTGAACTCAAAAATCAGGAGGTGGATACGTTGTATGAACATCTTTGTGCGCGTTTATCTTGCAAGCGAGAAATGGTTAAGTGATCAAATTTTTGGTGAACTAGATCATTCAGTGAGTTCAGTATGCTTCGTTGAGTCTTCAAAAGGTTCAATATTGCATCTTTTGAAGTTTGCTGAATCAGTAGCTATTGGATCTCATCAACCAGAGAAGTTGATTCGGATTCTTGACATGTACGAGGTTCTTTCAGATCTCATGCCAGATATCGATGTTATGTTCTCTGATGATGCTGGACTATGTGTTAGGACAGAGTGCCAACACATCCTTACAAGTTTGGCTGGTTGTGCAAGGACAACTTTTCTTGAATTTGAACATGCTGTTGCTTCTAGCGTATCAGCAAATCCTTTTCGTGGTGGTGGAATACACCACCTCACGAGGTACGTTATGAACTACATGAAAACTTTAACGGATTATAGCAAGATCCTCAATGAGCTACTGAAGGGCGATGAGGAGGAGGAAGATTCACCACAAGACATGACACCAGATAGAGAAGAAGAAGAAGAAGATAACAGTAACGGATTAAGTTGTTACATTTCTCCGTTGGCTCAATATTTTAGATCATTTACTTCAATTTTGGAATGCAACCTTGATGACAAGTCGAAGTTATATAAGGATGAATCATTAGGTCACCTTTTCTTGATGAATAATATTCACTACATGGCTGAAAAGGTGAAGAATTCTCATGATCTAAGAACAATACTAGGCGATGATTGGATTCGCAAACATAATTGGAGATTCCAACAACATGCAATGAACTATGAGAGAGCTACTTGGAGTTCCATCCTCTCGTTACTTAGGGAAGAAGGGGTTCATAATCCAGGATCAAATTCTATTTCAAGAACTCTGCTGAAAGAGAGACTGCAATGCTTTTACGCCGCATTTGATGAAGTTTACAAGAGCCAAGCAGGTTGGTTGATTCAAGATTCCCAACTTCGTGATGATCTACGTATCTCAACATCTCTCAAGGTTATCCAAGCATATAGGACTTTTATTGGAAGGCACAGTAATCATATTAGTGATAAATATATTAAGTACGGCCCCGATGATATGGAGAATTTCTTGTTGGATCTGTTTGAGGGATCTCCAAGATCATTACATGGTTCTTCTCACAGGGGAAAATGAGATTTGAAAGTTTCTTCATTCTCAATTTTGTCTTGTGCATTTGTAAAACATGTCCATTTTGTATTAGGTTGATTCTTTCATTCTTGTACAGTACTTGTTTCCCTAATGTATTTATTATCAGTAAAAACTTTTTGACATTGGAATGTGGTATTTCATGTTTTCTTCTTATAGAATGCATATATTTGGCATTTGTAATTTACAGTTTGTATCCTTCCGAATGCCTCAGTTGGTTTTGAGGGTGGTCTTCCACATAGAAGATCTGGGATCAATCCCTCCTCAATGCCTTCTGAGTCGAGTCTGCCACCCAGGCAGTGGCGGACCCAGAATTTTCGTTCAGGGGGTTCGAAAAATAAAAGTATAAACGCGTAAATAAGTATTTAGAAATGGAAACCTTGAATTCTTTTGGGTTTAAAACCAAACTTTTAGCACATTTTTTTAAGTAAAAAAAAATTGGAAAACAGAACTGAAAATTTTAAAAAAAAACTAAAAAAAACTGAAACAAAAAAAGAAAAAAAGAAAACGCTTTCACTGGGATTCGATCCGGTGACATACAGTTTAGTTTCAAGGGTACTTGCCACTATGCCATCAATTTCTCTTTGTTATTGAGGGGGTTCAAAATATATATATATCTATAGAAATGCAGAAAATTCACCTTATATATACCGTGTAATTTTTTGCCGAGGGGGTTCGGGTGAACCCCCTGGATACAATGTGGGTCCGCCCCTGTGCCCAGGGCTTGCTTACTATGGTTTACCATTTCCAGTAGACTGTATGATTTGCAGGCTATTACACAATGAAGGATATGCACCCGAAGGGCAGAGACTATGACAGAGATTGTAGCAAAGTAAGCATTGTGGATAATTCGGGATCGATCCCCTCCTCAATGCCTTTTCAGTCCAGATTGCCGCACAAGGGCTTGCCTACTGCGGCTTACCATTTGCTGTAGGTTGTATGGTTTGCAGGCTATTACACAATGAATGGTAAGCACCCGAAGGGCATAGATTGTGGCAGATATTGTAGCGAAGTGAACTTCATAACTTCCATACTGATATTCAGAAAGCAGTTTGTATGAAGTTGTCAGTTACTACAACAACCAGGCCATTTAAGCCAGTCTAAGTTCAAGATTTTATAAAAGGAAAAAAAAAGGGGTTTCTCTAGCAAACATTGGGCTAAAGAGTAAAGTGAACGTGCCAACATGTACCCAACAAATTGGTTGCCAACAAGAAATATAAATTTAAGTTGGACTTTTGCTTGCTTTTGCCAATTGCCCGGGTGGCTATATGTATCGGAAAATAAGATGCCATCTCCAACCCACCTCTAATTTACTTTTTATTCTCTATATTTGGAGAGTAAAATAGAGAATGGGTACTCCAACCCACCTCTATATCACTCTCTGTTCTTCATATTTAGAGAGGTGAATAGTAGTTCTCCAAATTTGGAGAACTACAATTCACACTCTCTATTTCACTTTTTGAATATTATATTATTATTTTTATTACTTTCTAATTAACATATTATTTTACATATAATGTCATTAATTAAATATCTAATATTCATATTTCTTTTTTAAATGTAATATAATATTTTAAAAAATATATTATTTAATATATACTACTTTCATCCCGAATTAATAGTATTTTAATTTTTTCTAATTTTCATAATAATTTGATTTTATTATTAATTTTCACTATAAAAAATACACAAAATTAAAATGATAAGATGAAAATTTTAATTTAAAAATACAACACATAATATGATAATTTAAATATAAGATAACAATACAATACATAACATAATAATTTAAATACAAGATAAAATACAATACATAACATAATAATTAATTCGTGATGAAATAAGAATCATGCCGAAAAGATGTTGAACGTGCATTCGGAGTTTTGCAATCACATTTTGCAATTATTGCAGGACCGTCAGGTTTTTGGAGAAAGGAAGTGTTACATGATATAATGACTACATGTATTATACTGCACAACAGGATAATTAAGGATGAGCGTGATCTTAATGCACCAATTCAAGACGTTGTAGAGGCTCCAACTCCAACGACATAAATGGTGATAGATGAAAATCTCCGATTTGAACAATTTATAACTAGACATAAAAAAAATTAAGGACAAAAATGCTCATTTTGGACTTCGTAATGCATTAACAGAGCATTTATGGAAGCAACGTAATAATTTAAAAAATTGAGTGTTTATGTAATGTTTATGTAATTGTATTTCACTTTTATTTGAATTTGTCCATTAATTTGTATATTATATAATATTTTCTTGCAATTTATGTTATTTAAAAATTTAGAATAAAAATATATTTTATATTAAATAAAAAATTTGAAAAACTAAAATTTTATATCACATGAAAATTATATAAAGTAATTATTGGTAAAAATAAATAAAGGGTTTATATTATGAAATAAGAATATAATATTGAGGAGAGAAAAAAATATTCTTTTTTAGAGAGTAAAATAGAGAATTGGGTTGGAGTTGATTGTCTGAAAAAATAGAGAACTCTATATTTGAAGAGTAAAATAGAGTGTAGGGTTGGAGATGTCTAGCCCTCAAATTTGAGGATCTTTCATTTTCTAGAAAAGACATAATTATTACAAGTATTTTAATTATAAAAAAATAAAAATTATACTATCTGTTTTAATCTTTAGTTCAAGACTACAAGATTTAAAAGATTTTATTTTATTTTTTTTATTAAACTTCAAACTCCGTGTTAAATCAAATTTGTCACACCCCTTTTTTGGACAACAAAAAGTTTTTTCAATTTAAGTGACGCTATTAATTAGAAAATATTTTTATTTTTTTAGAGTCGTCATTTAGAATTGAGTTATGGTGTTCCAAGTTACCTTTCTTTTTAGCCCATAACCAAAAAGAAATGACTCTTTATTGGTCCGTGAACTAGAAATTCAGATAAGAAATTCTGTTGATCGGGGGGAAGGTATTAGGAATCCCTCGAGTCCCGTGGTTCTAGCACAATCACTTTTATTGACTTATACTAACTTAAATTATTTTTGAATATATTATTTTAGGTCATGATTTGTTCACATTTTTATTATTGAACTTTTAATAATCTCAAATCGGATGCATAACTACATTCTCGATTTTTGACATATAAATAGCTTAAGAACATAACTACCCTCTTCACATCATACCTACTAATGTTGTCCATAGTCTTATTTTAAATTAATAAAAATCATTATATTTTTTGACAAAGTGTGTCACCACATCTTTGAATTTCTTTTAATGTCTAAAAAAAGATGTGTAACCACATTCTTAATTGAAACAAATATTTTTAATGTTCCTAAAGCTCATCAACTATTTAAAACACTTACTCTTATTTTGTGAATTCAAGACAACTAATCTTTTTGTCCCATTATTGTATTGTTCAATGATTTTTTAGTTATATTAGTTCTCATATCAAAGGATCCAACCAACCTAAAAATGGAGTAGATTCAAGTTCAATAACATAACTCATTTGTTTGTTTATTGTGTAATGACTCATTTATCTAAAAAATACGTAAATTAAAATAGGCAATTGACATCACCATTAAGCTACAACATTCCCATAAAAATAATGGCTTAGGCACAACATAATTGAATAACAACAAAAATAAAATTCTTACCTACTAATAGGATTATATTCAACTTTTAGAGATTTGCACCAAGAAATAACATAAAAATAACTCAAGATGCCTAATAATGCGAGCAATTTATTTTAACTCTCAAAATAAACTCAAGATGTCAATGTTCATTTCAATCAAATTATGAATACGCAAAAATTATAAGAAAACTAATCACATAATTACATCAGATTCCATAAATAAATTAAAGAGATAAGGTAAAGTTTAATCTCCAATAAAGAGAATAAATACTGCAAAATCTTGATTGAAGCTCGATTAGAACACCCACACATCTTTTGTAGATTGTCTATAGTATTTGGGGTTGTAAGGTGTAGATGATTTTTTTTGTGAGGTATTGTTGTGAGTGAGTTGTATATGTTGGTGTAGGTGTGTGTTTCTGTGTGTATGCAAATTGTGTATGGTTGACGTTTTTCTTCTTGTAGTGCCAATTGTTTTTCTCTTTTTTCTTTGGTTGCTCCTTGTGTGTGTGTTTTCTAATAGTGTTTTATGTAATTGTATATATATAGTGTAAGTGTAGTCGTTGTGTGAGTGGGTGTGTTGTTTGAGATAGTGTGAGGGTGGTTTTTTTTTTTCTTCTTTTTTTTGTAGTGTGTTGTGTGTTGTTGTAGTTTATAGTGGGTGTGCAGAGGTTGTTTAGGGAAAATAAGGGGAGTTGTGGTGAGTGGAGTGGGGCTAATGAGTAGTAGCGTGTAGGTGGGTTGGGGGTAGTGGGGTAGCTTAGGAAAATGGGGGTAGTGTAGGATATTTTTTTTTATAATTAAATATGGAAAATATAAAATATAATAACAAAAATATTAATTTAATTATTTTAAATTAATAAAAGAAAAGTTAAATAGCTAATCTAAAAGTATAATCAAGAAATACTAGTTATTTATTAAATAAAAAATTAAAAGAAAACTTATATATTTTTATTTTTTTATTTCTTTTGAATAAATTGAAAATAAAACTTACCTAAAAATGTAATTCTATTTTTGTCGTTTTCAAATCATTTAAACAAAACTTAATAAAATAAGATAAAAATCAAAACATATAATTTAAATTTTAAAAATATTTAAGCACTAAAAATGATGCAAAACTTCAAGTTAGGTAAAAAATTACGTGTCTACAGTTTACCCTTCTTTGACTGGAAACACAAAGAGTTTTCTGACAAAGAGGTAGACGACGTGATAAGTTTTGACCAGACTCTTATTTGAAAGAGAATATATGCGACCTAGTCCTTGTTTTGGACATCCTACATATCACGAGTTATAAAGGAATCAGGTCATGTATAGTTCAAAGAGATGGAATGATTAGTTAGAAGTCCAGTGAGGTTACATCGAGGCTCCAGGTCACGACTCTT